TTTAGTTTAACTAGTTTAACTTTAGTTTAACTAGTTTAACTTTAGTTTAACTAGTTTAACTTTAGTTTAACTAGTTTAACTTTAGTTTAACTAGTTTAACTTTAGTTTAACTAGTTTAACTTTAGTTTAACTAGTTTAACTTTAGTTTAATTAGCTCTTTTGATCTGTTTGGATATTTCTCTCATTCCACACTCTCTTTTATCCCTTTAAGAGGTACTCCACATCACACAAAATATGAACATATGGAGGAAACTACTTCATTTCTGAAAGCTATCAGGCAAAACAATTTCATCACAATCAATCAACTTGTCACTCAGTCAAAACAAATCCAGTGTAGGAATGTAATTATTCCAAATAATAATAATAAAGTACAAAGAATCAAAATGCAGAATTCAAAACATTATTTGAAGTTGCCGTGTTGACAGAGGAGGTTTTCCACTAATATTTTATGATGAACCTTTGGAGATAATCCAAAGTTACACGATCATTTATTTAACATCAGTCCTGGAGATAAATAATGGAGATCAGCACAGATAAATAGACATCTTCACATCTTCTTCTGTTGGCTGGGAACTACAGGAGCTGAAGAAAAACCTACAATGTTTTTATTTCTTGTCCTGACTAGTTACTTTGTTAAGTATATATCTTTATCCAAAATACTGCATAATACTTTCGTAAGAAGTATGGACAACTTCTAAAGTGTGCTGTGTGTCTAAAATTACAAGCTGGCTATTGTGTATCTGTTATACTTTGCCTTCTTTCCATTTTTAAGTGATTAACTGAATTCATAATCTCTCGTTTTAAGCAACCGGCGGGATTTTTTATTTATTTTTTTGCGCTAAAGGACCTTCTTCGCTGGACTCTGCTCTTCCTTGTCGGCCTCGGCCTCGTGACTGAATTTCCGTTTAGTGGACAAGCGCCTGCGTTTCAGTGGGGAGGCAGGGGTTGTATTCGTGGCGCCCGTGGCATCCTTCTCGTGGATTTTCATATGTCTAAAGTCGGGTGGGAAAAGGGTGAGAAGGCAAAAAAGAAGACGCTCGTTACAAGTTCTGAACTGGAAGGAAGTTCTAATCAAAGTTATACTTGCAAAGACGCCAATACCTGCGAGACCGTCTTCTGCCACATACCTCCCTTAGACCGATAAGATCGCACAGGATGGGCCTTCTCCGGGTGCCTTCAG